GAGCTCCTGCTCTTTAGCTGAAATGAGTGCTGCAGTCGTGTCCTGATCCGCAGCAATGCGTGGCAGCGACTCATCAGACTGAAAAAAATAGTCCTGAAAGCAGCTGTGAGCCTCTTCTCTGAATTATCTGGTGAATTAATTATGAATTAATTATCTGATGAACGTGACATGCTCTGGCTCTCTGTAAATAAAGCAAAGCCACTTCCTCGTCCGACATTAAACAGCCCCACAGAGGGGGCGGGGCGGCTGTCGCCGTGCAGCGCAGGTGTCCTGCGTCTGACCTCAAAGTGCACAAGCTTCAAACTTCAGCGTTGGCTGCGATTTTGATGCTGAAATCGCGTTCGGTGTGAAAGCAGCATAAGTCAGGCTAACAGAGATTTCAGCTCCAGTTTTATGTGGTAATAGCTGAGAATTATGGATGTACTGATATGAAAATTTCGGCCGATATCGATATACGATACTCATATTGTAGTATATGGCCGATAACCGATATTTACAGATATTACACAAACGCACAAATTATTTATTCATTTCATTAAAAAGTAAACAAAACACATTTCATACAATAAAAGAATACAAATTAAATAAAATGAAAGGCAGCAGAAGAAACCATTCTTATATCTGCTTCACTTAAAAATATATATATTTCAAACAATAATAAACCAAAAATAATAATTCAACTCCTCAAACAGTAACTAATACTAATTCTCTCCCATTCTCCAAGCACCATTAAAAGGTTATATCACTAAACATTCAACAAAAAGCCCACAACTCCCCCAAACCAAAAGCAAACTCTAAAATCGATTACCCAGTGCAATTCAATGATTGCAATGTTGGGTAGATTTAAGGTATTTTTTAAGATTATTTTTAAAACGAACAAAAGAACTACAAGTTTTTACACGACCGGGAGCAGCGTTCCACTGAGCGATGGCTTTAACTGAAAAAGCTGCTCGTCCAAAGGCTGATCATCGAGCAGGAACTTCACAGGTCTGCCTGGATGTTCTATTTAAGTGCAAAGAAGCAGCTGAACAATTATAAACAATTTTTTGCTAACAGATTGGCGCTAAACCATTTAAAGGAGACCAATTATGGGTCCTAGAAATTTTTATGGTATGTCTGTGGGCTATCCAGACCATCTTCATTCAATTTAATGCACAAAATAATTCTTAGATAATAAAGTTCCCATTTTCTAGTTCTGCCTGCTCTGACTTCCGTTCAGAAGAGCTGTTTATGTTAATGAGCTCTGTTGGTAACGCCCTCCAAAAATCTGTTGACATCAACTCCGCCCTCCAAAGCCAGCGTTTACGTTAGCATGGCTAATAATAGCAGAAGCTCCGTTGTACAACCATATGAGACCCAGAGGCAGAGTCGTGGTCGCTTCTTCTTTTTTTTCTCTCCTCCTCTGCTCTGCGCTCACTCTGGATGCTGTTACCAGAGCAGGGAGCAGCAGCGGTCAAAATACCTCAGAAACTCAAACAAATAGGCTTYAACAAGGCTTTAATAAGATAAACAATAGAGGTACATGAGAAAATGTGTTCACAACGAACAAAAATAAATAATTAAAATGTGTCAGTGCTGTCTCCCATTCTATGGTCAAACACTCTACCCATTGCCCTATAGGAGGCTTGTTGTGGGATGAGCTGCGCATTGCACATCAACAACCGCGACGGCTTTTTATACTGAGGAGGTGGGGCTTCACCCGGGTGAGGGGCTGAACGCAGGTTCTGGTGGGTTGTCGTACGGCTTGTGACATCACAAAATGAAGGAAGTATAAAACTTGTCGTTAATATACATTAAAAATACATTTACTTACAGTAAATATGCCCCTGGGTGCATTTTTTTGGTCCTAGGACTGTTTTTTAAAGAAGTACATACCCAAAATTGAGTAAAAAAAACCTTTAAAAAGTGGATTTTCCATTAATAGGTCCCCTTTAAAATTTTATTTACTGTTTCCATATTTGGAAAAAACTCTAAAATTCTCAAAAGAAAAGTTATATTTCTGCACAATCTGACAATGATGGTGTCTTAAGGGCTTGTTGTCCTTAAATTAATAATAATAATAATAATAATAATAATAATAATAATAATAATAATAATAATAATAGCTGCACATTTAGGAAGATGAGATTTTGTTCAACTGAAAGATTCAAAACAAAGTGAAAAAGCTGAAGTGACTTTGATGTCTGCTTATTTTTAACTAAAGCTGCAGCCGAGGATGTTTCTCCTGTTGAAGTAATGACTACATTTCATGAAGCTCTGTGCAACTTGTCCCGTTGAAATGGTAATGGAACTTCGAAGCGATGCATCAAAGACGTCGGATGTCCCGCACCACGGCCTCTGCTCAGCGGAGAAAAGCTGATGGTTGTGAAAATGCTCCAGCAGCTCCGCTCACAGGAGATGCTGACACTTCTGCCAGTTTCAGCCCATTCACTTCGATTCTTGTACACTTTAATATCGGAGCCAAACATTTTGCGAAAGGATCACGGATCATTTTAGACATATTTTGCGGCCCTCCAGACAGCAGCCATTTAAATCAGCTTGGAGGGGGAAAAGGAAATGCTCAATGACTCCTTGAAGCCTTCGTCTCGTAGGTACAATTGTTCCTTAGTTTCTGAAGCTCCAATACTTTTGTGCAGCAAAATAAAGAGCTAAAAATCTTTGTTTTTCTTCAATCTGATTTGTGTTTGCTTTATTTTAATAACAGTCTTTTTGCAGCTGCTAGTGTTTAGCAAAATAAAACACTAAAAAAATCTGGGTTTAGTATTTTGTATAAAAATGCTTTTGAATAAAAAACGATGAGTACTGGTATACCACAACGTGACCAAATTATTGCTTGTTTGCAGCCCCTTGATGTTGTGCTTTTTAATTAACGTTTTTGTTTGTGCATCTTGGAAAACAACACAGAAAAACGACAACATATGTGAGCATTCTGAGAGTTAATGAATGTAGTCTGGGCTGTCTGCTCGTTGAAACCGACTATAAAACAGTTACATTAACTGTGTAAACAGGTTTTTTTTTTCTAAATGTAAAGGTGTGACTTTAAAACAGAATTAGGTCTTGTTAGCTCAGAAACTAAATCATGAAGGATTTAAGCAGCTAAAGCCATAAAAGTAAAACCAGAGATGGTTTTAAAAGTAATTAAAAGCCTAATATTCACCTTCTGACTTACATAACAGAGTTTTACACCCAATTCATCCTATGTTGAGAAGAAACCCAGTTGCTTTGTGTTTTGAAGACGTTGCTCAGCTTCTACCACACTAAATGTTTGCCTAACATTGTTAAAACTGATTCTATGTCTGTGTTGGCTAAGATTGATCAGTGGTGGTATTCTTCAATCGAAATGACTTAAAAAGTTGATGTGTTGTAGATGAGAATTTTATTCAAATCTGAGCAGTGGCTCATGAGGTATTTTACTAACAGAGTTGAATTTAATACGTAAACTTTTTAAGTGTCTATCAAATTTTTGTAATAAATATGAACACATTTTTGGAATGATGACATTGCTAACATGTTGATTTTATATATATATATATATATATATATATATATATATATATTTCACATCACTGAGATAAACAGTTATTGAGATATTTGCATGTAAAGAAACAGGAAGTGATGTCAAAGGGAAATGTCTGCATGTGAACACAGCATTGCTACAACTGCTAACACAGATCGTAGAGAAGAATCTGATGTTTCTCTAGATTATTCAGACTCACTATCAGAAAGATGAAGAGTCAGAGTTCAAATTATATTGTGTCAATAAACAAAGACCAGGGAGTTATCTCTTAAAGAGTTCACCTTTGATGTCACTTCCTGCCTCACATTGGCTGAGTTAAATTCAGCAGAAAATTTGCCAGTTATGTGACAAAATGGGTAAAATCACATCTGTTATGCCAAGTTTCTTAAATATTAAATGTTTTCTTTGACGTTTTTATTAAGAAAACGCATGACACAGGGACTTTAAGAACAGATGGTGCTCAATCAATTAGTGTTCAGAGTATGCGGTGGGGATGAGTCTGAGCTACTATCACACTAAATTTTATCACAATATTTAAAAAATAGGGTTGTGTTAGAACATGAATAGCACCGCATCCAAATCTGTATCAGCTGTAGAAGTGATGTCTTACTTGGGGTTACAGTTAGTCGTCCTCTTGTTCATGATGTATTTAGTTAATGTAACAAACAAACAAAAACAGACCTGGGCAAAAACCAATCAACTTACCATTAATGACAGGTGTGAAGACGGCCATCCCTTCAAAGTTGGGATCGCTCACTGTCTTGTCCAGTATAAGGCCTCCAAAACTGCAAAATCCCAAAGAGAACCAGAAGAGGATACAATTACTGTCTAACATCTCTTCAAACACCTGAAGCTATTTGGTTGTCAGAATGAAAAACAAATGGCAAAGACGTGCAAAGTAACCAGGTAATCATGAAAGCTGCACAAAATGCATTGGTTGCAAAGAGAACGCAGTTTCTGCCCTTGTTAAAAGTTTGTCAACTGCACCTCGGCACATTCTCCACCACCTGCAGATCAGCCCAGCTGTGTGTAATTACAGCACAAACACTTCACTCAAACGTCCAAACTTCCAACACCTAATGCATGTCTAAAACTAAAACACCAATCACTGTTAACTTCTATAAAGCACTGCTGCAAGGTGAATTATTATTAGGTTGTACGTTTTCTGTCTGAGTCAGGTATTTAGTCACCAGAGTGTCATCGAATGGGTTTTGGTGTGTACCTGCTAATGGACATGGCTACTATAACAGGCTGCCACCCTGAGCGGAGAACCTCTCTGATCTGAGGACTTCGTCGGGCCACCACCACCCAGAGAGGGATCAGAGATAAGAAGAGCAGGCACACAGCGGGGGACAGGTACCAAATGTCTGGAGGAAAAGAGAAGGCATCAAATTATTTTAAAAAAAGGGAATAAAGATGCAGATGATGATCAAAGAAGCAGCTGGTCACATAAAACACACATTTACCACTGCTCAGAAACAAATGAACTGAAGGACATTTCAGTTCAATAAAAAAGTTACAGTCCTGCTCTGAATAACAACCATAAAATGATTAAGACAGCATTTTTAATCAATAAGCCTGCTCTTTGCTGCCATCTTGTGGACTGATCTAAAATAAACCATTTTTTAAAATCAGTGTTTGTCTTTTTGCTGTTTCCTACCTATATATTCATACAGTGTGCTGCTGATCCCAGCCAGGAGAGACAGGGTGATTAAATCCCCCAGACTGGCAGCGATGGGGGTGGCCACGTTGTCGGGGTTGATCCCCACCTTCCTGGAGCCGATGATCACTCCGATCATCACCAGGCCTACAGAGAGAGGACGGAGCTGAATCAATTAGCCTGAGACGATGAAAACAAAGGAAGAAGTTGTCACTTTCAGTCAAGGTTTAAACTGAGCAGAGAGAAGATTTACTGCTTTCTGTGACGGGAGCTTTCAGCATGCTTTACAAGACAGCAAAACAAGAAAGCTCAGTGACAATGTGATTTCAGTATAAATAAAGAGCTTTTTACAACTTCAGCTGGAGTGACAGCCAGCAGGGAAAGGGATACAATCAGCTGACGTTGAAAGAAAAATAAATAAATTTCTTTGTTTCAAGAAAAATGTTTAAAACAATAAAAGAAGCTAAATTTATTTGCCAACACAATAATCCTGACTTAAAATTAAAACCTAATTTTAGCATTATTTTAATCCTGAGACTGCAGCAACCACATATGGACATGCGATGCTTTGAGGAAAAAGATTTAATGAATAAAAGGCCAAACATTCTGCAGGATTTAATGTTGATTAGCTCAAATTAAATGTCAAAACGGTTTTACTTTTTAAACGTGAACCGAACTGGATTAAAACAACACCACAGTATGGAGTTTAGTATACTTTAAAACTAAGTTTTGAAGAGTTCTTTCAGCATTCAGTCCCTGCTTAAGTTTAGTTTTACAGTTTAAAACATCTTATCCTAAATTTATAACTTTAAAGTGCCTGCGACATCAAATTTTTGTAATAAATATGAACACAATTTTGGAATGATAACATTAATAACATATTGCAAAACAAATTTCACCCTGCTGAGATGAACAGTTGTTAAGATATTTGCATGTGAAAAAACAGGAAGTGATGTCAAAGGGGAATGTCTGCGTGTGAACAGATCGTTGCTACAATAGCTAACACAGACTGTAGATAAGAATCTGATGTTTCTTTAGATTATTTTGAGTATTTATCAGAGAGAGGAAGAACAGTTTAAGTTTAAATACTGTTTCGATAAAGACCAGAGAGGTCTTTCTTAAAGAGTTCCCCTTTGATGTCACTTCCTGTATCACTTTAGCTGAGCCAAGTTCAAAAGAAAATATGCTAATTATGTGATAAAATGAGTAAAATCATGCACATTATGCAAAGTTTCTTAAGTATAAACTTAAATATAAACTGCTAAAAACTTTTTGTATTTGAAGGATGTATAGGTCACAGGCACTTTAATCTGACTTCAGGTGCATTTAGTTTTATAACCAAACCTTTGAGATACCTTTTATACATTGAGACAGCTACTAGTTTTAAATCGGTTATTTTACAGTTAAAATGTATAAAACTGTCTTTAAGAATTGATTTTCCTGTCCAGATTATTAAGACCCTGCAAGATTCAAACACTGAATAACATGATGACCACCAGGGACGGTTAATGGACCATCATTTTGTTCGTCTCTGCGTTATTAGAGTCTAACTTTAGGAACTTTTCATGAGTTGTTTGGGCTCATTTTAAATGCTAAAAACAGATTTTGTATCGGTCTTACTTGATGATGCATTCAGTGGCATTTAATAAAGTATTTCCTTTTGTTATTTGAAAATTAAATTAAGGTAGTAAATTTTCTAGTTGGGACAAATCCCTGAAAAAGCAAACTTATATATTGAAATTTCTTCTTATTTAGAGCCTTTCTGAGATAATTTTTTACGTGAAAACAGCATGTTGGTGTTTCATTTGAGTCTTCTATAAAAACGTATACTTTTGTCTCTTTTAGGGGACTCGTTATTGTGAGGTCTGAGGCTAAGCTAAGATGAGCCTGTTGTGCAGGGCTTGTCTTACCTAAAGACAGAGCAGCCAGAAAGGCCGTGGTGATGCTGCTGGCACACAGAACAGCTGCCTGATCCAGCTCAACGCCTCCTCTAGAAATTGCACCTAAACAAATAGCTGCCACTGCGGCGAGGAATCCTACCACTGTGGCCTGAACCTGGGAGAAGAGGCAGAGCTGCATAAATACAAGGCATCAATGAAATGCAACATCTGAAGAATGACACTGATGCAAGGAAAAGAAGATGTTGTAAACTGTAGTAAAAAAAAAAGGCTAAAATAAAATGTTTATTTTCTGTTTATGAGGGTTTACTAAAGGGGGGGGGGGGGATTTGCAACTGGCTACAATTTACCTCTAGATTTTTTACTTTAAATCTTATGACAATACTTATTTTATGTGGTACAGCTGCATGTCTATGTACATAGCGCACAGCCAAACTAAACGCTCTGTGAAATACCACTTCAGCTGTTAATAATTTAAAAGACATTTCATTTATAGCTCAATTAAATCTTAAAGAGCACATAAAGCTCCACAGCAGCCCAAATCCCTCCCCACGTGAAGGCAGAGGTTGTTACCTGAATCAGGGCCAGGTTGCTCCACACCATCGTCCACTGTTTGTCAGGGTCATCCATTTGACCCGTGTTGGCCTGGAGACACAGAGACACCACAGTTATATTACAATACACCCTATTGTTTTATATCACTTAGAAGATGTAAAGTATAAATAATCATGACTTACATTTCTAATCCCATAAAAAACTAAACTGGCATATACTGTATGTACTGTTTATACAGTGTATATACTGTATAGATAGATAGATAGATAGA